AAATTGGGGAAACCCAGGGTTTTTCCCCCCCCGGCTTTTTAAAAACCGGGCCCGGGAATTTTTAATACCCCCCCCTTTGGGGGAATTGGGGCCCTTTAAATCCTTCCTGGGGGGCCCCCCGGTTTTTGGAAAAAAAAGCCCGGGCGGGGGCATTTTTTTTTGGGGGGCCCGGGCTAATTTTTTTAAAAAGGGGGAACCCCGGGGGGGGTTTTTTTCTTTCGGGGGGGGGGGGGGTAAAAAAGGAAACCCCAAAACCCGTGGAAGGGGAAAAGGGAAAAAGGGGAAAAAAGCCCCCTTTTTTTCCCCGGGGGGGGGGCCTTTGGGGGGGGGAAAAACGTTTGTGGGTTAAAAAAATTTGGGAACCGGGGGGGGGGCCCCCGGGAAAAAGGGGGGGGGGGGGGGGGGGGGGGGGTGAGCGGGAGCTGCTGCTAGCCTGCCTTATTTTCGGTGTTTGAAAGGCGTGGCGAGCGCTGCAAAGGCCTTGCCTTGTTTGTTATCATACGTCTTTCCCCCCTTGAATTTCTTCGTGTGTGTTTACTTATTTTAGTTTGCGTTGGCCGAGCTCCAAGTCTAAACGGCTCACCAAGCAACGTGAGAAAACGTCGCCAGTCTCGTCGTGTCGTATTGTGTTCATGGGTAAATAATATGTGTTATTGGATTCTTCAATGAGCGTCAAGATCCGCGCAGCTTTGCCACAAGAAGGTTTCATCTTTTGTTTCGGGGCCGGTTCGCGGCAGAAGAGCATGTTAAAAAAAATGGTGGGAAAGTTGCATCTGTACATACTAACGAAGATATTATCCTGTATTGTCATTTTGAACATTTCAACACCCAAGCAGCGGGACCAGATCATCTGGGAACCCCACTACCCACAACCGACGTGCACATGCAGCAGGAGGTGTGGTGGGGAAAGGGCCACTTGCTTTTGTCTAGTCCGCCGGAGGGCCTAGATATTGCCATGTGCACACGACAGCGACGCACCATTTTCTGCGGTTTGTCTCTCTGTGTCTGGTGCAGTAGGCCCAGCTTCATGCGCGCTGTGGAAAAATATACGTGGCAACTTCTTAGCTGACGATGGTTTGCTTGCAGCGTATATATGGCTACATTGCCCGCGAGACGCGCTTCTTCTCCTCCTGCCAACATCTGTCATCATCCATCGTCATCGTCATCACTACTGACGACTTAGGTAGGTAGTTAGCAAGTTGGTGGAGATAAGTAAGGACATGGGGTCACCCCGCGACCGTGTGCACCCTCCAGCCGTGTACGTGTTGTGCCAGATAGGACGAAAGTGTCGCTGTGAATCTCTTCTGTCGAAAGACTTGGAGCCCATGTGCACGTTCCACTATACGACGACGAAAGAAAGTCGCTGTGAATCTCAACTGTCAAGGAACGCATACATACATACGTACATGCCCTTGAGGAAAAATTGTCTCCGGCGGGTGGGGTCCTTCCTGTGTCTGCATACTACTAAAAAAAGATCATATCATGTGTACCATGCACTCTTTAAGACTTACCATAAAATACTCTTAAAAACGAAACACACACGCAAAAAGAGGGGCAAAAGCACAACATGAAGTAAATAAAAACAACGAGCAAGCAAAGCGTGGTGCGTTATCAATCATTGCTTTCGCTTTGGCCATGAGCACCATCATCAGCAAATTATCACCATGACCACCGCCCGAACAACAACGCAACCAACCGCGCAAGCACGCACGCACACACTCAAGGACAGCGACACTGTTTGCTGCGGCGTAGCGGTCGCGTTGTGCTTGTTCGCGAACATCAGTAGTATTCGCCCGCCCGCCCGCCCGCCCGCATGCCCGCTTAGACAACCCTCCCCGCCCCCATCTCCTTCCTTCTCCTCTCTGTTTGTTGCGTCTCTCAGCCAAGTTACCCGAGGTCAACAACAGAAAGACGTTTCCATCCGAGTCACGAGGCACTATCATCATCATCATCATCATCATCATCCTCATCCTCCTCCACCCCCCGTGCCACGATTTCTTCGCTTGCACCCACCCCACGCTGCTGACGATGATGCTGCAAAACATAAAAATCACCACCGCGTGGTGTTGGAATGAGCGATGCCAGCCAGCCATGGCTGCAAAACATAAAAATCACCACCGCGTGGTGTTGGAGTGAGCGAGGCCAGCCAGCCATGGTTGGTTATTGTTTATCTTCCTTCTTTCGAACCCTCCCCCTCTCCCATGTTTTTCGCTCAGCCAGGAAACAAGCACACTCGACGACCTCCCCCCCCCACCCCCCTCCGCCCCCTTTAAAGGCTAACCATAACCAAGACAACGCAAGGACAGAACAAAAAAAAGGGTACAACAAGTAGGTGCAGTCCAGGCATAGACTAACGAATATATTACGTACAGCCCCTGGGAAGATTCCCAAGCGAGCGGCCGAAAAACAAACGTCTAAATTATCACGGCTCGGTATTAATATTGTCTTACGCATGCATGCGTTGCGTGTGGTGTTCTTTTAGCATTGCATGTAATACAACAGATAAAGCTATTGCTCCTGCGAGGCTGTAGGGCAATTATATGCTCACCGCAGGCAGGCGTAAGCACGCACACACGCACATAAACAAATAAAAAAATAAACAAATAAAACTCTCGCCGGCAAGCGAGCCCCCCCCGAACAATCACTTCCTTCCCCCAGAGCACCGTACACCCCTACGACAAAGGAGAAATAAACCCCAGGAAATTTGCATGTACAACGTCAGACTGTAAGCACGAGGGAGGAGGTAACCTGCTGGTAGGTAGGATAACACAGCACTACTTCTGAAAAAACGGCGAGAGGGGTGGGTGCGATACGCCTGCCTGCAGAAGGTAAAAGCACTTATACTACGAGTAAGAGGCACGCACGCACGCACGCACCACTGCACGATGGCATATGCAATGCATGCAAACGCGCCGCCACGATGGTTTGTTCGGCAGTCAAACAACGAGTTGTCACCATCATGCGATCGATGACAAAGACAACCGTAAAAAAAGGGGCTCCCTACGAAAAACATTCCCGAGTCAAGTTAAGTGTGGCACGAAAGAAACACTAGTCGCGACCGCCGGCCAAGCCAGTCCTGCTGCTTCTTTCGTTTCGGCCACCCCTCTACTCATCGCGAGTGCAGATATAGATGATATAAAAAATCGCGCTGCTACAGTACTACTGCTACGACTACTGCTACAGCAGCGAGTGGTAGAGGCCAAGTTGCCCTTCCCCCTACAAGACGGCGGCAGACGCCAGACCACAAACAGTTTGGTATGGTACAAGCACCTTACAATAGGTGCGTACGTACGTACGTACTGCGTGTCGCCGCGGGCGCGCGACGTTCAGCCTCTCTACGGCGGGTAATGACTACGACGAAGAAGCTGCTGCAAGCAATCATCTGCTGCTAGAGGCAAGACCTTTTTTCCTCATCAAAACAATACAACACCAAACGAGCATTTTGACGCATGCATGCTGCATGCGTTCATTCCCAAACCAGACAAAAAGACAAAGCATCAAAAATCTTTCTGTCTAGTGTAGCAAAGCACAAACAACAGTTTTTATCCGTCCGGTGGTAGTAGTAGACTAGACGGGTGCGTGGTTGATTCGCCACAAATCCACCACCATCATCATCGGGAGATTGGCACGACATTTGACCGCATGAGTGCAGTACGTGTACGCGCGTGGTAAGGAGATATCACACTCACTCACTCACCATAAATACATATCATCATGCCTCTACGACATACACACGAACTCCCCAGGAGCCAAGTCCAGAAAAATCCAGGAACAAAATGGGGGTTGTGGGTTTACATTGGTAGCCCAACTTCATGCACCTCTCACATCCAAGCAGCGATCGATGGAAACAGGGGAGAAAAATCCAAGATAAGATAATAACTACATACGCAAGAAAAGACCTATGTAAGACTGTATTTAGGACACAAGACAAAGACGGGACAATAAAGGACAACGACAAGACAATGAAGGACAACGACGAAACGCAAAAAATACGAAAAGGAACAATGACGAAACGCAACAACGACGAAACGCAACAAGAAAAAAAGAAGACGAAAACGACAAGAAGAGACCTTGAAGACAGACGCAATAAAAGAAGACAACCAAGACTAAAATTGATAAGAAGGACGGTCGTATGGGGGGAAGCATTCGATAGTAGTAGTAAAATCCCATACAATGTCATGAACAACGTGCTGCTCCTGCTCTCTCTCTCTCCCTCTCGGTGTTTGCGACCCTCACTCAGCAACATCAAAAAAAGAGACAAAAGAGAGAGTTGAGCATGGAGGAGCCGCACGCACCACACACGGCGGCCGGTGCTAAGACCAATTGACAAAATCTGCGGAGATCGCCTTTACTGGCACGAAGGTCAAGGCACTTGCACACACAAAAAGGGTAGACAAAAAGCACCGATTGCCATCTCAAGATAGATAGATGTTGTTGCGCTCCCCTTGCTGTAGACACGGTTAAACCATACCCCCCCCCCGCGGTTTTCGATCTCTCTCTCACTGCAGCAGAGAGCGGGAGCCAGTCTCCCTCTCTCTTTGCTAGTTATTTCTCACTCTGTGTTTGTTTGTACAAAGAAGGCTCGTGCCCCCCGCGAGACCCAGCCCTCATGTTCCGCCAACCTTCTGACAGTCCCGCCCGCCCTCTTCCACCTGCGCCGATTCCCCCCGCTCGCGCTGAACCACCCAACCCCTCTAGCCGGGGGGCTACGACCCCCCCACCGAAAAAAGCACGATATAACGATGACCACGTCGGTTCATAACTGGCTGCTAGCCGCTAAACCCACTCGACTACCCAGCGCCTGCAGGTGAGCGAACATCACGCTACGCATCGCTGGACGGGGGCGGGCGGCGGGCCGGCTGCTGGTTCCGACACCGCCGCCGCCGCATGTAGCAGCGCATGGCCATCGTCGGCTTCTCATTTTTTTTTGGTTGATAAGATCGACTGCCCTCGAAACTCTTCTTCTCGACTGCGGCACCCGTCGTCATACGCCCACACATGGCACGCCGCCACACAATTCGGGGGGATCGAATCGTGCAGCAAGCACACAGCGAGCGGTTGTTTTCTCGCAAAAAAAAAAAACACACACACACACAATCGGCCGGCAAAAACAAATCGAGGTCAAAACTCACCCCATCCATCCATCCATCCTTCTATCACCACCACCACCATGCACAAAATCGCCACCCCGGGCGGAGAGAAAAAGCTCGCCGGTGCATGGAAAATCCCGAAGGAATGGCCACACTCCCGCGTAGCGATCGGCCTCTCCATGACAGCCTTGAGCACTCTAACCACACTCGGGGCAAGAAGAGGACGCGCCGTCTCCACCAATCAGATCAGACCCGGTCCGATCACATCACCTCCCTCTCTTCCCGGCTGCCCCTCTGCCGCGCTTCCGAGCCTCCCGCCCAGCAGCCGCAGCTTCGCCAGACTGCTGGCCGTTGCTACTGCTGCCGCTGTCGTCGCCGTTGCCGATAACGTCTCCCGCCGCCGCCGCCGCCGCCGCCGGCTTGCCGCCGCCTCCGGGTGGGGGTGGGGGGGGCGAGGAAATACCCGCGACGCCCATCCACGCCCGTTCTTCTTGTCCAGCTCCCAACAACGGCAACGACGACGACGACGGCGCCGTCGTGCCGTGGCCTCCTCCGAAGAACGAGGACGGCTTGACGTCTTCCCCGCTCCCGGGAATCACCCCGTCCCCCCCGGGAGAGCTCGCTGTTGCCCCCCCCCCCGTTGCTCCCGGCCGGCGTTTTCGCGCCGTACCCCCCCCCCCCCCCTTCGGGGCCGCCCCCGCAGCCGCGGCAGGCTTGGAGGCGGCCCCCCCTCCCCCCCCCCCTCCTCCGCCCCGCCCTCCGCGCCCCCCCTTGGCTGCGGCGGCGCCGCCTCCGGCGGCTTTCTGGAGGTTGGTTGGTTGGTTGGTTGGTTGGTTGGTTGGTTGGTTGGTTGTTGTTGTTCGAAGAACGTTTACGGCGGCGCCAATGAGAGAGGGGGGGAGCGGTACGTTTTTTTTTAGGAAGGTCCGTCGGTCGTGGAGAACAACAAAAGGCGCGTACGTACATATACACTGACGTGTCCACCGGGCACCCACCCGCAAGAGATAAATAGTAACAAAACAGCACACAACCAACAACACTCAAAAACAGCGTGTAGGTAGCTGGCCTGTGACTGATCACGCAAGGCGCCCGCGTAAATTGGATCGGTAACGGATATAAGAAGGGACTGAGCGGAGACCGGAACGGGTCTTAATGTGAAGACAACAACAACAACAACAACAACAACAACGCGTTTCCGTCATAAGCTCACGTGGGGGTGGGGGAGGGTTGCTGTTCACAAAAAATCACACAAAGGGTCGACAAACAAACGCACGAAAAGACAACCTGAGGGGTCCCTCTGCACGAAGCGAGGAGCTCAAACCACATGAAAAAAATACGATTAGAACGAAAAAAAAAAAAAAAAAAACGTGCACCGCTGTATTGTATGTACCTGCGATTGGTTGCGGCTGCGGACGTCCATCATGTCGGGGAGCTTATGTCGGCCGCAGAACCGGCGCTTCTTCTCCCACCTGTGGCCGAAGCTGGGGTGCCGGTAGCAGCCCTCGAACTCGCACCGGCTGCTGCGGACGTCCACCATGCCTTCCTTCTTGTGGGAGGCGCAGCACACGGCCGGCTTGCCGTCGTAGCCGTAGACGCGGTACTTCTTGCAGCCCTCGGCCTGTAAGTGTTTTTGTATCGAAAACCACAGCAACAGTAGCAGCAGCAGTGGTGTGTTGTTCCCAACATTTGTCAGTTTGCCTGATGACCATTTTGAAGAACATTTCCGTCTGTCGTTTGTTTTGGCCCCCAACACTTTTTTCTATTCTCATGTCCTGAACATTTACAAAAACAACGTTTGATTCCTCCGTTGTTTGTTTCGGTCCCAACATCCATTATCCGCCGCCACCAGGAATTGAGAAAAAGAACAAGATGTGTGATACAAGTAGTAACAAAAAAAAAATCCCAAAAACAGAATCGCCACCCAACCAACGCAACGCACGACTCTCGCCCACCTCGCAGCACTTGCTCTTGAGGTTCTCCATCCCTTCCTGCTTGTGGGCGGCGCAGAACTTCACCACCTTCTCCCCGCGGAAGTTGAACGCCGCTCGCGTCAGGCACCCCTCGTGCTCGCAGCGCCGCGCGATCACGTCGTACATGCCCGGGTGCTTGTGCGTTGAGCAGAAGCGAGGCCGCTTGTCCCCCTTGTTCCCGTACGTGGGCTGCCGCTGACACCCAGGGGCATCGCACCTGTTTTTTGTTTTTTTTTGCCAAGATTTGTTTTTTTCTTCCAGATTGTGTTTTCCGTTTTATTTTTTTTTCATGGTCAGTGTTCAGAATGTGTTGAGCGGTGCAGCATTTGTAGGTACGAAAAGGTGGGGGAGGGTGAGGTGGGGCAACCTTTCCGAGGGGGGGGGGGGGGCCCGGGAAATCAAAAACAACCTCCCTTCCT